ATTTGTAATTTTTAATAATACTTATATTTATAGTGGCATGTCACAAACTTCAGCAACTTTTCAGTTGTAAAATAAGCACCCTATATAATATGTTAATTGAAACTTTAATTACTTTCAGGTTGTGCTCAAATATGTAAAATTCTGTTAAGGGACAACTGTTAAGTTGTTTGCTTAATAAACATTTTTTTCATTTGTAATAATGTAGTCTTGTTTGGGGGGGGTCAGGGTGCGTGTGTGTGAAGTAGGTTTTCCCAGAGAATAAAAGCTATCCATTTCTAATTGAGTTTGTTATTTTTGGCATGCTGTTTCAAAGTTACTTACAAAAATCTTGTGTTTCATTAGAAATAGCTTTAAATATTTCTTTTTCTTACAGTCTAAAAATAATGAACTTAATCCATGTGAAGATTTTAGCTATGGACATCTTAGGACCATCGCTATTTGTTAAAATTAACAGAATTTTCAAAGAAACTATTTCAGATGCATTAGTTTATCAGGAAGCAAGGACAGAAAGCAACACACTGGGAAGGCTGGAAGAGGAATGAGGGCCATCCTTCCCCCACCCAGCCTGCGCACATGTGCCCATGCCCCCCAAGACCCTCGAGGGTCCCCGAGCCATCTTCTATCACTGAGACTCCCAACTAACTCCTTCGGGTGAATGCCCCTCTGAGCAAAGGAAGTCCTCACCTGGGCGGTGAAATTAAAGGATTTACGCTTCAAGTTGTGACTTTTTCAATCCACATGCTTGCTAATCCCCCGCCTTTGAGGAGACTCCACGTGCGTGCGGAGGTGCCGGAAGTCCCGCCCCACGGAAGTGAGCCTCGCCCTCTGGGTGGGAAACGGGCTGCGTCGTGGTAGGCAGGAGATGAAGGGCGGGAACTCAGAGCGCCGAGACTTGAGGGTAAAGGCCCTAGCTCCGTGCCTGTTCGTGTTCGGGTCCTCCCCCAGCCCCTGCCCCAGTCCTGTTCTGTTACCTCATGTAGAAGACAGTATGTGGCCTGCAGGCCCAGGTGGCCCTCACTGCGGCAATGATGCAAAACGCCCCGGTGTCCACTTACTAATCGGCCCACGTGAGGGGTTGGGTTGAGCGTGCGGGAAGAGACCCTTCTGAGGAGGTAACAGACCCCGGCTGCAGTCCCCACAGCAGCTGGTGGGAGGGACAAAGCATTGGCTTCTACCATTTAGCCCGGCTCCGAGGGCCTGGCAGTTTTGGACCCACTTGTACTTCAGAATCCGCGGGCGCCTCGCCAGGTGTTTCTGATGCAGGGGAGGGGCGGGAACCACTGGCGAGGTCGTTCCGCAGACCGCGGGGAGACCGCGTGTTCCTCAGCGTGGGGCGGGCACGGTTATTAGGCTGATTTTCACTCCCACCCTCTGCTGGTGAAACGCCGATTGTGGGGCCTTTAACCAGCGCCCGGGGTCCCTCGCAGGAGTTGGAGACCTGGTCTGAGAAGATCCTGAGGGACCGCCTATGCTCTTTAAAAGGAGTTCTGCCGGCTCTTCAGGTGAGCCAGGCCTCGGAGTTCTGAGCGGAAATTCGGGAAACTGGGTGGGCTTTGGAAAGATCACGCGTGTTTACCTGTGCAAGTGGGATGGGGTGAGGAGAATTTATGAGAAAGGGCTGCTCCGGTCTCCCGAGTTTGGGAGTGTTAACGCCGCAGAGTGAACCGCCTCCTGGTGCCCTCAGCTTGTTTTCTGGACCTCATTGTTATTTCTCAACATACTTAACTGGTAGCAGAACATTTATTGTATATTACGCGTGTTTGCATATTGTTGGGCTTTTGATCCCTTGTCTCTTCTGCTGTAGAGGGAGTTTTCCGCTTTGTATGAGTCCAGGCTTGGTATCCACTGTCAACAATTTAGTGATGGCATGTAATGGTGGGATTTTCAGCCCTGCCAGCCTTACACGGAAAGATATCATTTATCGCCTTGGCCGGTGGCGAGGTCGGTCGAGTGTCATCCGTGGAGCCAAAAGGTTGCAGATTCAACCCCTGGGCAGGGAGGGCACTGCTAGGTTGTGGATTCAGTCCTCGATCAAGGCAGCCGATGGATGTCCGTCTGTCTGTCTGTCTGTCTGTCTGTCTCTCTCTCCCCTACTCCCTCCTCTTCCCCCCTTCTTGTTTCCTCTCTCTCTGAAAAACCGGTAAACATACCCTCAGGCAAGGATTTAAAAAAAAAGAAAGATGTCCTTTACATTTCTGGTATTTTGGAGTGATACTTACATTTCACAAAGCTTTTCATGTCAGCATTTTCCAGTCCAGCTAGTGACATTCAGCTAGTTTTCTTGCTTTAATTTGAATTTTAGTTTGTACTATTTTGGTAGGAGAATGAATTAAACCTGTAAATGGGATAGTTTCTTCCTGTTATCTAGACTCAAACCCTCCCTTTTTTCCTGTGAGAATTCAGTAAATAATTTTGAAATGTTGTTCATTACAGTTTGCATCTGTTCACTAAGTGAATCGGGCAGATGTTTTGTCCTTGGGAGTAGTCTATTTTATAATTTTAAATATAATTTTGTAGTTATCAGTCCCTTAAAAGTTGTAACTTGTCTTTTGCTGTGGATGTTTTTTAAGCACTTAGCTAGTGAATAGATGACTTGTATTAATTCAGGTACTTGGTAAGCTTCACCTGATTTTAGTGTGCAAAGTAACCATTTATTAGAAAATAGTATAAAAAAGACAAAGGAATGCAAGGTAGTATATTTTGACAGTTTGAAATTGAGTTCAATTTCAAGACATTCAGACTTAAAAAATTGTTTCCCTCTTTAAAACAAAATTATATTACAAAGCAGGATAAATTAATTAAATATTCCTTAAACTCCCTCACAAATCAAAAACCTCCACTAATGATACAGTAGTTCATTTGTTTAACAATCTGTTTTTTAATTTAGTTTTTTTCTCCCCAAATCTTAACCCATTTGCTCAAAGGTAATGTATATTTATATATAGAAGACTGTAGCAGGGATGTCCAAACTTTTGGCGTCTCTGGGCCACACTGGAAGAAAAGTTGTCTTGGGCCACACATTAAATACATTGAGACACATAATCACCCAAAATCTCATAATGTTTTAAGTAAATTTACGATTTTTGTGTTGGGCCGCATTCACAGCCACCCTGGGCCATATGTGGCCCAGAGCCGCGGGTTGGACATCCCTGCTAGAGGGTAAGAGTGTCAGGCCTGGCTTCAGGTTTTCTTGGTTCTCATTCCAGTTCTGGCACTTACTGGCTGTTTGAACTGGGCAAATTATTTACCCTCTCCTCATCTATCTTCATCCATATAGCTCCCTTGTGGTGATGTGGTAATGACTAAAAAGATATTTATATGGTTTATAGAACAGTGCTTGGCCTATAATAGGACTTATGGAACATGAGAAACATTTATTATAAAAATTGTGAAAAATAGAAAACTGAAATAAAACACCATAGAACCACCAGCTAAAGACAACAAGTGTTCTGTTGCTGTTCTGTAACAGAAGCATTCTTTCTTGGTTTCAAACATTTTGAGTAAACAATATCCTGTGGATGTACTATAATATGCTTAACCATTCATTTTTTAAAAAATATTTTTATTTATTTTAGAGAGAGGAGAAGGAAAGGAGAAAGAGAGGGGGTGAAACATCAATGTGAGAGAGAAACATGGATTGGTTGCCTCTTGCAAGCCCCCAACCAGGGGCCTGGCATGCAACCCAGGCATGTGCCCGACTGGAATCAAACTGGTGACAGGTTCACAGGCTGGCGCTCACTCCACTAATCCACACCAGCTAGGGCCTAACCATTCATTTTTAAATGGAATATTTAGGTTTTAAAAGTGGCAAAACTAGTATATATTTGTATATTACTTTGTAAAAGATTCTCACATATATTTGAAATTTTTTTGTTTGGGAATTTAACGTTTTTTGTTTGGTTTTGTTTTTTGTTTTCCCTCACCCAAGAACATGCTCATTGAATTCAGAGGTGGGGAGGGACAGAGAGAGGGAAAGAAACATCATTGTACCCTGATGGGGAACTGAATCCATGACCTTTTAATTTATGGGACGACACTCCAACCAACTGAGCCATATTGGCCAGGGCAGGAATTTTACTATCATTTTGAAAGTGAAAATTAAAAATTAGAAAGGATAGTTTGTTATCTCCCTTTAACCATGTAGTGTTGAAGTACATAAGAATTTTAGAGTTCTGAGAATCTTGATTTATTGCTCAAAGAAGTTAATTGGACTCATATTTTCTCTAAAAAATCAGTTTAGCATTTTAGAATAAGCATATAAGAAAGAGGTTAGTTCAGGGTTGCCAGTTATTTTAAAAATTCTTCTAACAAATAATACATAAACAAAGATTTAAATTTAATAGTGAAATACTATGTTGAAAAAACCATCGGTTAGAAAAACTTTTAGTATTAAGCTTAGCTTGTAAAAGGAAATGCAGTTTTAAAGACCATGTGTATTATCTGTTTGAAACTTCTGATTCATGGAAGGATGCCCAATCTGAAAGGATGTAATGAAAATTTATAATAAAATATGAAGGACCAGAAAAGGATCAGGTAGATTCAGTTAACCAACCATTTGTGTGTTTGTTTAATAAAGTATGTTGAATGCCTGTACGTTTTCAAATTTAATACAACTCTGTGATGTAGGAACTTCCTATTTTACAGGTGAGGAAACTGAGCCTCAGAGAACTAAAGCACACCCTGTAGCACATATCTAATAAGTTATAGATTCAGTCCTTGCTCTTCTGGCTTCTAGAAAACTATTCTTTCCCTGATCCTTTGCATTCGTAATTCTGGAATTCTCAAATATGTATGTATGTATGTATGTATGTGATGGAAATGTTTTGTATTTTTAAAAAAAATTTTATTATTAATTTTATTGAGGTGATATTGGTTAATAAAATTATATAAATTTCAAGTATACAATTCTATAATACAATATCTATATTTTAAATATTGATTTAAATAGAAAAAATATCTTTATTTTACAGGTGAAATATAAGTAAAACGAAAACACAAACATGGAAAGTGAGGACACAAAGAAAATACAGGGTGAGAAATTCATGGATCATATGTCTGGAATTAGTTTCATATATTTGTGGACAGTACTGCAGGTTATCTGACAATGAAAATGAAAGAATAATTCAGCAATTTACATAAATATTTATCATGCATCTACTCTGTGTCTGTCACACTCACTTTAGGAAACTGACATTCTAATGGAAAAAGGCATGCTAATCATTAGAATAGCATATGGTAGCTGATTTAATAGAGGTAGATAGAAAAGTTGGGAACCTGAGAGAACTACCATCAAAGTACGCCTGGAAGATTTCAGAGTTATTTTCAGAACGAAGGAAATTCAATCCATGGGCATAGAGGCGATTAACCAGAGAGGAAATACTAAAAAAGAAAAGAATGGCGAAGAGTGTTCCCCTTAATGCACACCATCACATAAGGGTTTGGCTGAGGAAGAGGGCCCTCAAAAAACTGAGAAAAACATTTCAGAGAGGTGAATTGAGAGTCAGGAATGTAATGTGATATTTTGGAAATCGGCCTTAGTGTTACCGACCCTTCAGGTCCAGAATCCAAATCAGGATCTTTCTGCCTAGTACTGTTTGTGCCAATAGAACAAGACTGAGTTCGGTAAAGCAGAGCAGAAACTTCGTTCATAAAAGAATGGAGAGGGTGAGCTCATGTTGTAATGACACCTTCTCCCCAACAGGGAAGGCACTTTCTGTATTTATATGCTGTGGTGTGGAGTGATTAAATTATTTTTTTAGGCATGGTTGTTACTTTTCTGTTGCACTTGGCCCTTTGGGACATGGTCTTTCTTTGCACATGCCATCTTGGTTTTTATGCTCAGTACCTTGGTCTTTGTGCTCTGCCCTCTTCATTTTGTGGTCAGGAATCCTTTTTAGTTCATATAAGCAACCATAGCTTGTGATATAGTTTAGGTATTGAGAAACGTTTGGGTCTTGAGATGATAGCCAGGTGACATTAGAAGAATGTTTTGTGAGCAAGATTGGTTCATAGCATCAGTGTCAACTGTCCACAGTGTCTGTACAATCAGTATTATTTCTTCCTTAAATATGTGGAAGAATTTACAAATTAAGCCATCTGAATTGACCTGGAGTTAGTCTTTCTCTCTCTCTTTCTTTCTTTCTTTCTTTCTTTCTTTCTTTCTTTCTTTCTTTCTTTAAGATTTTATTTATTTATTTCTAGATGCAGAAAGGTAGGGAGAAAGAGAGGGAGAGAAACATCAATGTATGGCTGCCTCTCAAGCGCCCCCCACTGGGGACTTGGCCCGCAACCCAGACATGTGTCCTGACTGGGAATCAAACTGGCGACCCTTTGGTTCACAGGCCAGCACTCAGTCCACTGAGCCACACCAGCCAGGGCTGGAGTTTTCTTTATAGGAAGATTTTTAACTCTGGATTTAATTTCCTTCAAGGAGATAGCATTAGGTTATCTCTTTCTTGGGTGAGTTTTAGTAATTTGTGTCTTTCAAAGAATTTGTCTATTTCAGTTAAGTCATTGAACTTATAGGTATGAAGTTGCACCTAATATTTTGATTTTCTATTCCTACATTTCATGAAAGGGGAAGATCAAATAATTTTAAGAAGTTCAAGTTCTTTTAAGAAACATATTTCTTTGATATGTCTTTATCATTTGTTAACTATAAAAGTAAAGCATATTTATTTTAAAAATGAACATGAAGATATGTATTTAGAAAGTAAAATTTATTTATTTATTTATTTATTTAATACTGTATCAGTACATACCAGGTTTAACATGCGCAAAGCCAAGAAAACCAACGATGCCAGATACTGAATTTATATCGCACTGTCCTTTGAACACCCAGCAGAAATAAACTCTGCAGTGCAAAGAAAGTGAAATTTAAATGGTTACTCTTTGAAAAGAAATGTTTGGTTTCAAATTGTGAAATTTTTGTTCTTTAGAAATGAAGACTGACCTGAACTTATTATTGGAGTGTCTGAAGTATCAAATGGACAACCCTTTTTCACAAAAGGAAGCTTTGGTCACTATTCATTCAATTTGTCAACAAAACAGTAAGACATGATAATGAATTTTTATCTATAATTCTAGTTCTTTACTATTGTGACATGAAATATGAATAGTTCTTCCTCTTCCAGTCAGTTGTTCTACATGTTATATTACTATGTTCATGTGATTTATTTTATTCTTAAAAGAATAATCATAATAAATGACATTTCTATTTTTTTTGTCTGCATATTCTACAGGTAATGCAGGTTTATATTTTCGGGAAATTGGTGGTTTGGTGTTTGTAAAAGATCTTGCGAAGTCAAGTGAACATAGCATGGTAAAAGAAGCAGCCTTATATACATTAGGAACTATTGGAGAAAAAAATGGTAAAATATAACAACTTTATTTCATTATCCTTCAAGCAATTGTGTTATACTTTAACAAACTCCTAATTTAATTTTAAAATTAAATTTGTTTTTTATGTGTTTGGATAGTTTATGTATTTTAATTATTTAAATTAATGTATGCTGAAGATTATATTTAACTTACTAACTAGTGAAGGAATCAGTAAAATGTTACAAGTGTTTTAAAGACAATGGCAAAACTCAATGCAGGCATTTAGGAATGCTGAAATAGATTTATAAAGAGGCACATAACTAGTCAATATCTGCACGGCAATAATTAATTGAATTCTGCTGTCCGAAATGTTTTGGATTTCTGTTGACAAGAGTAACTTGCATTACTATCAGTTTTTTTTCTCTTAAAGAGTTGTGAAATAACACAAAGACATTAAAAGGCACAGATAATCTAGAAGGGTGTGCTAGATAGGACATTCAGTAGTCATTTTCGTCCATTTCAAAAATCTTTCACAATGTTCCTTGGCATTAGTTGAAAACGGATTTTTCACTTTATTTTTTACTGCCATGCATAAGTTTTTTATTTTGATGAAAATAAAATTCACCCTTCTTTCTCTTTCTTGCTTCTGTATTTTAAGCTATTGGAAAGTTTTCCACAGTCCCAGGTTATAGGGGAATCTACCCACATTTTCTGTTGGTATTTGTATGATATATTTTTACATTTACATTTTTGATCCTTTTTTAATTTTCAAGAAGTATGATGAATAACTCCAGGTTTTCTTTTTTTAAATATTTTATTTATTTATTTTTAGAGAGAGGGGAAGAGAGGGAGAAAGAGATGGAGAGAAGCATCAGTGTGTGATTGCCTCTCACCTACCCTTTACTGGAGACCTGGCCTGCAACCCAGGCATGTGTCCTGACTGGGAATTGAACTGGCGACCCTTTGATTTGCAGGCTGGAACTGAGTTCACTGAGCCATATCAGCCAGGGCCAGTTTATCTTTTTTTTTTTTTTTTTTTTAATGGCAATCCAGTTATCCTAACATTCTGTATTAAAAAGTAGGGTTTTTTTCACATTGATTTTAGATAGTACCATCATCACAATGAATTTTCATATACTGTGGGTCTACAATTGGTTTTTATATTTTGTTCATTGTCTATGTATTCAAGTATTTGAATCAAAAGATGAAGATAGCCTACAACCACCACCTTGTATATGAATAAATACATTCTGACTATATAAATTCATGTTGGCAAAAACATTTTTTCTGTAGCATACCTGAAATGAGGTTGAATCTAAACCATCGATTTGTTAATCAGCTTTATATTCTTAAATTTTTATGCATTAAATATTTCTTTATTACTTGTCAAGAATCAAGCTGTGTGCTAGGCATTGGGGATAAATAAGACATTATCTCTGCCTTTGAGAGAGAGTCTAATAGCTGGTTTTAGACACTGGATAAAATGTTGATTATATCTCTGTGTTCAAATTATTTTTTTAAATTTTGTTTTTTATATGATTATTACAAAAAAACTTCCTACTGTCATGTAGGTATCATTTTTGCTTTTTGGAAAGATATTTTTAGTTATAAAATAACTTAAGAAATAGCACAAGTATCCTTTGTCCCTCTGTTTTCTAAAGCAGGCTTCTGAATTTTCTTAAATTTTTCTCTTGCAATGTTTTGTTATTTACTCATCTTCTTTTTCATCACATTTTAATTTTTTGTTTAATTAGGTTTTTATTGGAAATTCTAGGAGACTGCGATGCCTTTTTTAGAGCATAGATCAAATATTTCTAATTAAGATATTGTTTCTTTGTTCTGTTAATTGAATATCAGTCTGTCAGAAATTTTGTTATATGACCAATAAATGTCAATGAAAGGATATCTGATTTATGCTATGCATAGAAATTAAAATTATATTTTTATATTTCAGTTTACTGTCAGCAGACTTTGTGCACTTCAGAATTGTTTGAAGACTTAATTTGGTTCTTATCCAATAATGATTCAAACACAAATTTGAAAAGAATGTCTGTCTATGTTATTTTGGTTCTAGTTTCAAATAATAGTAAGTACATTCTTTTATGTTGTAAAAACATTTTTTAAAAATAATAAGTCAGAACAATCATTATTAACCCTTTTATTCTAGTTTTTATATCAATTTCTTTTGTTCTTATTGTCTTCTGAGAACTACGAGCTTTAAGAATTAATAGCATGCATTTAATTGATCAATATTTAGTAATTTTAATGGATTGATATTTATTAATTTTAACAAATAGTAAAGTGATTTGTATTGTTAGCTAACAATGAAAAGAAACAGCTTTAAAAGCAAAAGAGAGGCACTTAAGGAATTAGGTTGGTTGATTTTTCACTACATTGGCCATTTAGATACAGTGTTTATCAGTCAGCAATGACCATAAATTTTCTGTAGCTCTTGGCTAAAGTTTTCCTTTATTCAGTTTTAATTTTTTTATTGTTTTTTTAAGACTTTATTTATTTACTTTTAGAGAGAGGGGAAGGAAGGGAGAAAGAGAGAGAGAAAAATATCAATGTAAGAGAGAAACATAGGTCGCTTACGTCTTGCATGCCCCCAACCAGGGACCTGGCATGCAACCCAGGCATGTGCCCTCACTGGGAATGAACCAGCAACCATTCAGTTGCAGGCTGGTTCTTAGTCCACTGAGCCACACCAGCCAGGACTTCAGTTTTTGTTTTGTAATAATTTTAGATTTACAGAAAAGTTGCAAAAATATTATAGCGTGCGCCTATATACTTACTGCTCAGGTTAAGGTTATTTTTTTTAACATTGCTTTATTTAAATCTTCAAGTTGTTAGAAATTTTATAAGCTTTTTAAATGCTTTTAGATTTTTTTCTATTTTGAGTTATTTTTCTTTTTATTTTTTAAAATGTTTTATTTATTTATTTTTAGAGGGTAAGGAAGGGAGAAAGAGAGGGAGAAAAATATCCATGTGCGATGTGTCAAACTTGCGACCTTTCAGTTTTCAGTACAATGCCCGTCCCACTGAGCCACACTCCTCAGGGCTCTATTTTGAAATATTTAAAAATTTTGGAACATATTTTGTTATTGTAACATGGAACCATTCAAAATAGGTGTTCTGTAATTTTTCAAAGAAATTTTAGTGTCATTCTCTAAGCTTAAGTAATTATTTCTTATAATCTTGGTTAGATTTTATCTATTGTAATTCTGTTATACTTTATAATAGTTTAAAGTAATTAAAAGTTACTTATTAAAAAGTACCTAAATGTTTTCCATTTCTGCAGAATTATTTATAAACAAAAGTTATTTCATGCAATATGTGTCTATTCTTTTAAGGGACTGGACAAACACTTGTGAGAGAAACAGGTTGTATTAAAGTTCTGTCTCAGTTGTTCAAGTAAGCAAATATAAATTTTTCATTACTAATTATTTATTATTTAAGACCTTAACACATTTGTATTAATTTACTTCCTTTACTTTCTAACCTAATAGGACAGTTCTTTCAAATTATGAGTTGAATTTGTCAGATAAAAATATTTTCCAGAGTTATCAGTTGTGGTCATCAGTGTGCAGTACCCTGTGTGTCTGTGTCAACAATCCTCAAAATGGTAATTATTTCAAATATTTAAATATAAAAATAAAGATAAAAAATAAAAATTGATATTTTCCAAATATTTTAAAACATGATTAACTTTGCTTTCTTTCAGATGAAAATCAAATGCTTTGCTGTTCACTTTTTCCACATGCTAATGACTGGCTAATAAATTGCATGATACCTGAGATAATTCGCCCTATTTGTTCATTTATTGGACTCACTCTTGCAAATAACAGTACGTATTCATTATTCCCTAAGTTTTACTTGAAGAAACTATTTCAAAACATAATAGAAACCTATTGAATTAATAGAATAATTTTATTCCAATTAGTTGGGTCATTTTGGATGTATTTAGACTATCACAAATAGGAAAATCATAAAAGTAGATTTGTTAGGAAGACATTGGGAAGCATAGTTTTGAATCTCCCTAAATACCTTCACAAAACAAAACTAGACAGCAAAGCTAAAAATCTTCAGAATGTTTTCCCTGATCACATAGAATTAAATTAGAAATAAATAAAACATATAGAAAAGTCTCAAATATCTGGAAATTAAACAACTTAGCACTAAAAATATCAAGACAAAATAACAAAAACTCTTGAGTGAAAGAATAAATAATAAAGGAAATTAGGAATATTTTTAACTGAATGACACAACTGAAAAACAACATTATAAAACCGTGGGATGCTGCAAAATCAGTGTTTAGAGGGAAATTTATAGCTGTAAGGCTTGCATAAGAAGAAAGTCTCAGATTAATTATTTTAGTTTCCACCTGCGTCACTAGGAAACAAACCAAGCTAAACTCAAAGTAAGCACAAAGAAGGAAATGATAAAAAGATCAGAAATCAATGAAATAGGAAAAAAACTACAGAATAGAGAAAATTCAATGAAACCAAAAGCTAGTTCTTTGAAAGAAGATAAATAAAATGGATCATTTAACCAGACTAACTATGAAGTAAAGGAAGAAGGCCCAAATTACCAGTATCAGGAATGAAATGTGACATCACTATATATTTTAACAGATATTAAAAGGAAAATAAAGGAATAGTATAAAAAACTTTATGCCACTAAATTTGACAACTTGCATGAATTGGACAAATTGAAACACAAACTGCCAAAGCTCACTCAAGAAGAAATTGATAACCTGAATATTCCTATATCTTTTAAAGAAATCAAATTTTTAGTTTAAAACCTTAAACAGGAAATTCCAGGCCCTGATGGCTTCACTGGTGAATTCTTTCAAACATTTAAGGGAAAATGTTCTACATAAATCATTCCAGAAAATAGAATTGGAGGAAACACTTTCCAACACATTTTTTTAGGCCAGCATTATTCCCACATAAAACTTGAAAAAGGCCTTTTAAGAAAACTATAGGTCAATATACTTTATGAACATAAATGCAGACATTCTTAACAGAATATAAACAAATCAAATCTAGCAATACGTATAGAAAGGTAACTATATCATGACCAGGTGGCATTTATCCTAGGAATGCAATAGTGGTTTAACATCAGAAAATTTCACAGACTGGAAAAAAAAAACCCTACAATAATCTCAAAAGATGCAGGAAAAGCTTTTTCACATAATTCAACATACATTTGTGACAAAAGCTTTTGGTAAACTAATAACCATAGGGAACTTCCTCAATGTAATAAAGGGTCTCTACAAAATACTGCAGCTAACATACTTAATCATGAAAGACTTAAAGCTTTTCCCCTAAGACAGGAAAAAAGAAGAATGGGTCCCCTCACTGCTTTAATATTTTGCTGGTTGTCCAAGCCAGTACCAGAAGGCAACAAAATGAAATAAGACTCATAGAGATCAAAAAGAAAGAAGAAAATTTAGTATTTATTCATAGATGACATGATTGTCCAAAGAATCTACAAAAAAGCTACTAGAACCAACAGGTCATTTTTCCAAGTTTGCAGGATACAAGATCATATACAGAAATCAATTGTACAATATTTCTATCTATTAGCAACTAACAATTAAGACCTTAAGCTCATTTACAGTATTATCTAAATAAATACTTAAGAGGTAGATTTAATGAAATATGTGCAATGTCTATATGCTGAAAACCATAAAACATTGCTGAGATAAATTAAAGACCCAATTTGTTAGAATGTCACTTCTCAAATTCATCTCTATAATCATTAGTTCATCTTTAGCTTCATGGCATTCCCCATTAAAATCCCAGAAGGCTTTTTTTGTATTGTAGATATTGACAAGCTGATTCTAAACTTTACATGGAAATGCAAAATAGCTAGGATAGTCAAAACTACTTTGAAAAAGGACAGAATTGTAGGATTTACATTACATGATTTTAATAATATAAAGTAATCAAAGTATGACATTGTTAAAAGTGTAGACATACTAGCTCAGTGGAACAAACTGGAGAGCCCAGAAACAGACCCATTCACATATGGTCATTGATTTTCTACAAAGGTGCCACAATAATTCTATGTGGGGGAAAAATAGTCTTCAACAATTGGTGCTAGAAAAAGTGGATATCTATATGCAAAATATGAATCTCAATGCTTACCTTCCACAGTATACAAAAATTAACTTGAAATGATCCATATACCTAAAGTGTAAGAATTGAAACTGTTGAACTTCTAGACAAAAACATAGGAGCAACTTGGGAGTAGAAAATGATTTGTTAGCATGCAAAAAAGCATGAGCGACTAAGGAAAGATGAGAAATTGGATTTCACTGAAATTTGAATCTTTTGCTCTTTAAAACATATCCCCTTTAGATGAAAAAGCAAGCCATAGATTAGGAGAATATATTTGTAAAATGTGCACCCGGTAAAGAAACTTGTACCCTGAATATATAAAGAACTCTTAGAATAAGTAAGTCAAAAAACAACCCAATGATTAAAAAATAGGGAAGATTTGGAGAGATGCTTCACCAAAAAAGATACGAATATTAAATGAACATTTGAAAATATGCTCAAAATCAGTCATCAGAGAAATCTATACTAAAACCTCATGGAGACACTACTACACACCAACTAATGTGGCTAAAAGTAAATAGGCTAATGATATTAAATATTGAGGGTGTGGAGCAACTAGAACTTTGTCACACATTACTGGTATATATATAGCTATTCAGATGTTTCAAGCAGTCATGTTTCACATGCAAAGGAACATATCTCTATAATTCCAAAAATTGCAATCTATGTCCATGATGCTTTGATATTTCCTCTTTCTCTACAAGCCAATTTGGATGAGGAATAGTTATAGGACCTCCTTACTCTCAGCAAACTGGTATGAAATATAAACTAGGAGACATTTGAAGTATTCAGTGTACAAATATAAATTAGGATATTCTGCTGATAAGTCTGAATTTTCATTACTTAATGCTATAAACTAAAAATCTCTGTGGTAACACAGTACTGTTCTCATCTAAGCATTTAAAAATACTTTTTCAAGTCTTTTAATATGCTAATTTTAATAATAATTGTTATATTTTCAATTATTCCAAAATTTATGTGTAGTTTGGTTTAGGGTCTTTTTTCTAGAAGGTATCTATTTTTAGTTTTTCAATTACAGTTTCCATGCAATATTATTTTGTAGTAGTTGTAGATGTACAGCATAGGGTTAGACATACACTTTATTTACAGTGTTCCCCCAATATTTTCAGTACCCACCTAACACCATACATAGGTATTACAATATTATTGACTATATTTCCTATGCTGTACTTCACATCCCGATGACTGTTTTTAACTACAAACCTGTACTTCTCAATCCCTTCATCTTTTTCGCTCTGTCCTCTAACCACACTCCCTTCTGACAGCCATCAGTCTGTTCTCTATTTCTACAAGTCTGTTTCTGTTTTGTTTGGTGCTTTTTTCGAGTTTTTAAAAATGAAAATACTTTGTAGTAAAGAATCCTGTTTTGGAGTCTCTGCAATTTGAATATGTTTACTTATTCTTAAATAACATTTCCTAACAGTTACTTTCTCAAATGTAGAAAATTCTGAACATGATTTTTTTTTTTTTAGATTAAGATCTTTGTGTTTTACGGAACAATACAAAAAGTAATTTTTGTGTTTAAAACATCTTGGTTCAATTTGTGGTATTGGGGTAGTCCAGGAAGAAGGTTTATGGCACAATTGTAATCATTAGCCCATGTATCTTTTTGTTACAAGCACATTGCTGGAATAGGAGCTTTAGAGACAATCGAATGCATGGACTTAACGGATTCATTTTGATCAGAATCATTTTCAGCAGGGGAACAAAAGAATTCAGACTTTTAAAATATACGCCATTGATTCTTTGCTTGAAGTAGTTGTCATGACTTTCAATATGTTATAATTTTATGCTCTAAGAGGTAAAAGACATAGGCTTAAATGAGATGGATGAAACATGTATACTTTTGGAACTGTTAAATTACTTTGCTGTTTGTAGATTAAAGCAATCTGAGGAATGAGTTATGTTGGAATTCAGAAAACAGGCAACTTGTTAATTGGAATACCAATCTAGGTCAATGAATCTATTCTTTATAGCTCTGTTGAAGGATTTGAGTTAATAATGTCATTCTTGCAAAATATACCAGTTCTCACTAAAGGAAGCAAAAGAGATACCTAACACACAAGAAAAAAAAAATACTGTATTATACATAAGGAAGTAATCTGAACAATGAATGCATAGAAGTGGGACAACAAATTGATGTTTCTTTCTCTCTTCCTTCCTCTCTCTAAAGTCAATAAATAAAAAAAATGAAATATTCAAAAAATAAAGTTCTTTTGTTGCTGATGTGTACTGTGTAGTTAGGCCTATGATGACTGTGTCTATACTGAGCAGTACAGACATTTTTCCTTGTCATTATTCCCTAAGCAATACAGTATAATAACTATTTTTATAGCACCTACATTGTATTTGGTACTATAAGTAACCTAGAGATGATTTAAAGTATATGGGAGAATGTGCATAAGTTATATGCAAATACTAATCCATTTTATATAGAAGACTTCAGTATCTGAGAATTCTGGTATCCGTGGGTGAAGGTGGGGGGCATCCTATAACCAATTACCTATGGATATCGAGCGATGACTATTTGAAAAAGTCAAGTTAATGTTATATTTAGTGCAGATTGATTGACTGAAACCATGCAGTTGTTTTGTTTAGGGTATTAACAGTTCTACTTTATTTCTTAAGCATTTGTTCAGAAATACTTTATATCTGTGGGTGGACTGGATGTATTGTCTCAAGTTCTTGTGCAACTGGAATCTGATTCACACAAGACTCTTCCCAGTGCTAAACTTGCAGTGGTGGTGACTAAGACAGTGGATGCATGTATTGCTGATAATTGTGAGTAAAAATGCGTAGTAATTTTTCTACAGTTGCATTTTGTTTGAGTTCAACATGGTGAGTGTTGAGATGGTAGCTTGAACACTAGCAAGTATTGTCTAGTCTAATTCCTTATTTTACCATGGAGGTTGTAACTTCCCTACGGGTTCAAATCTAGGTCTTCTGACTTCAAGTGTAATGAAGGATTCTTTCATTTCTAAACCTTGTTTCATTTGAAAAATGGCAATAAATTAAAGAGTTTAGATGAGAAATCAAGGGACGTTTTGGAGACAGGATGAATGGCAAATGCTATCTACAGATTTTTTTTAATTATATAAAAAGATAAGGTATGCCTCTTTCTGGTGAGTATGAGGTCTGACTTTCCCAGCTGTAAGTAGTGACAGAACCAGAGTTGAACCCATTGCTGCTTCTCACTTGTACAAACACCAAGGAATGATAATCTATAAAGTTAGTAATAAACAACTCAATAACTCAAAAATAAGTAGATTTTTAAAAATCAGCTATTGAAGGCCTGCTATGAGTTGGGCTCTATGTGAGCTCTAGAGATGCAAACATGATTAAGGTATAGTCCTTTGAGAAATTGACAGCCTTATTATAGATATAATTATTGTTAGGTTCTTGGTGAACTCTGTTAAAAATACTATGAGAAGTATAGTTTAAAATGGCAGACTTCTTGAAATTTGTCACTACTCAGCTTCAGATGTACTTCACTGCATTAACATTAGTAGAATCATTGCCATTAGTGTATTTCGTTGACAGGCAGGAATTGGTTATGTAGGAAGGTCTTGACTGCCCAATCTAGATAAGAAGAGGTGTATAAGGTGGGAATAAGCATATTCAGCTTTTAGGGATGTTTCATATTGCCAACATTATGCAGGATAATTAAGAAAATAACTTTTAAAAATTTGCTTTAGTAAAATATATTTAATGTGAGAAGAGGGATTAATGAGGGCTATATATAAGCCACCCTTGTAATACAATGCATTTATGTGTATTTACCCATATATGCACACATATATTAGATATTATATAGATATATAAGATCATTCTCCTAGGATAAGGTCTGAAAAATAGTATATGTAAGATATGTATATGTATAGTTACAAGTTTTAACTTTATACTTACTCTTTTTTTTTCTTTTTTTTTTATACTAATAGCTACTTTTGGGGAAGTACTATCCAAGTATCACATTGTTTCAAAACTTCTGGCATTACTGCTTCATGAAAGTCTGGATTCCGGAGAAAAATTCAGCATCATTCTTACTCTTGGTCATTGCACAGAGGCTTGTGGTAATACTGGATTTACTTAGTATGCTTATTAAAACAGTGAAGTGGAAATATAATTTTGCTTTTTTCCCCTTCTAGTCATGTAAAAGACTTAAAAATATTGCTTTTCTCCCAGTCATTCAGGCCCCAAATTTTATTCTTCATCCTTCCTAATCCATGGTGGTTAGTCCCTGAGACCTGTGGTTCTGTTTCTGTTTCCCCCTACATATATCCCTTTCTACCCAATTTCAGTGTTACCCTCCAAAGGCCCTCAGCCCCTTCACGTCACTCACCAATGTTATTGCAATAGATTGCTCCGTGTTCCTTTCCATCTCCATTTTTCCATCCACTCTTAACAATGCTGCACACATCTGATCGCGTTCTCTTTTGCTGAAAAAGTTTAAAAGTCCCATCTTTTCTTTTTCTATCATTCTCACCTCTCTTTTTTATCCTTGCTTCCATTGTCCTCCCTCTCCATACTCTCCTGCCACTCTCCCTCTGTCCACTCTCTTCCTTTCCAACTCTCTTCTCTTTCCTCTGTCCCTCTCTCTTCTTCCAGTCTCCTCTCTCTGCCTTCCACTTTTCCACTCTCCTCTGTTTGCTCTCTTGCTCCTACTCTCTTCCTTTCCTCATTTTCAACTTACTCCATTAGTTTATTTCTTTATTCTTTTTGTTAACTTCTGTATAATTTAGGATTTATTTTTTATTGAGGTTTTATTGAGAACTATACCTTTTTAAAAACCAAGCAAGAGCATTTGTTTATGCTCATGAGGCATGATCCTACTCTTTGGCTGCATTTCAGAGAGCATTACTTATGAGACATAGGTATTGTATATGTCAATTATTGCCTAAATTTAATATAATTTGAAACTATTTGTTTTTCTTTAATCGGAACTATGTTCATAATTATCACAAAGAAGAATTATGACCTCATGTAGTTTATGATAAAATAACTATGTTCTACTTTAATTTTTGATATCTTTACAGAAGAAAATCAATATGAGCTTTTTAAAAACAATGGACTTCCACTCATGATACAAGCCTTAACTGAATCTCAGAATGATGAACTAAACAAAGCTGCCACTTTTGTCCTTTTCAACTGCAAAAAAATTAGTAAGTTTACTGTTACTTTAAAAAAAAATACCAGCCAACCCTGGCTGGTCTCCTTCAATGGATTGAGTGCCAGCCTGCGAACCAAAGCGTTGCTTGTTTTATTCCCAGTCAGGGCACATACCTGGGTTGCAGGCCAGATCCCCAGTTGAGGGTGCACGAGAGGCAACCACACATTGATGTTTCTCTCCTTCTCTTTCTCTTTCCCTTCCCCTTCCTCCCTCTCTAGAAATAAACGAATAAAATCTTAAAAAAAAAAAACCAACCAAAGTTTATGAAGGGGAATTTATATCTGCTTTGATGAGCCATGCCCTTTTAGCTCTCAGGCTCCTCTTCACATCTGAAGAGTGGAGTATGTAATTTGGACATGACAGAGTGTTTCAGCATATAGAAAACCGATATAGAAGAGGGCAACAGTATAGATAATTCACATATTTTATGCAGTGTGGACAAATTTAGTTGTAAGACTTAAATTTGAGGACTACAGGTAACATGATTAAATCATAATGCAAAGTATTTACTTAATTATTTAAAAATGCTTGTGCGCCAGTTATTTAACAGGCACTGTGCTAGGCATTAGGAATACAATGATAAGAAACAATCTGTGCACTCATAGAACATAGTTTAATTAGAGAAATAGATAGTAATTGAGTAGCGTAAAAAATGAGTGTATTATTTATAAATTAACCTAAGAGTTTAGAAGGGACGGAGCACAGATCTTGGAGTTCTGTAACAGAGGACTATGACCTAGACATAGAACAGGAAAGTCTTCAGGGAGAAGTAATTCTTGGGCTGAGATCTGAATGTATAGAGTTAATTAGGTGAAAAAAAGGGAATTTGTCATGGGCAAGTATCTCAGGGGTAAGCAACAATGAGGCACAAAGGCCCTGTGATAGGAAGGAGCCTGGTGCATTGAAGGAATTGATAGCCAATTTGACTGGAGCACCAAGGGCAATGGCCATGAATAGGATTTTGGTATTTGTGGAAGAAAAATTGCTGCCGCAACAAATGAAAAAAAAATTTTAAGAGATTATAGGAAGGAACTACTTTATGAAAACTGTTTTTAAAAAACTGCTTCCAAACTAGTATCTATACAACTGGGAGTGTTTATGTGTCTGGCATAACATATTTTCATGCTGTTCTCTTTCCTATATCTCTGAAGAATAAAATCTATTTTATGACTCTTTAGGTCCTGGGCCTCTGCCAAGCATTTGCTTTCCACTTATTTTCAGTACCACTTGGGCAGTTGAGGTAGTCTAGAAGGGTAAAATTTAGAGAAAGAGATGTGGGGTATGAAATTGTTCTTATTTAAAGTGTTAAAGCATTTCTAGTAATGGATAAACTTACTATTTTTCTCCATATTACAAAGCTGAGAAATTATCTCTAAGAGAAAAACCTTTTGATGAAAATGAAGCAGAACAATTAAAAGACATAAATATGAAAGAGAAGAATATTGAAGACTACTGGAAGAAAGCAAAGGAAATTCTTCACAGAATAGAACAGCTTGAAAGGGAAGAAAATGAGGTTGGTTTCTTTGATTCAAAGAATATAGAACTTTTTTGAAGTATTTTTCAAAAATATAGGGTGGAGGGTAAAAGATTTTTGTTGCCAAGTTTTTTTTTAAATTTTAATGTTTTTAAACTTAAAGTTCAGTAATAATACTTGAATCATCTTTGAATATAGAAAAAATTTTTAAAAAGTGGAACTGATAACTAAAAAAATAAGACACATGGTAGGTAGACAGAGTCAAGAGATCTAACATTTTTTAAACAATTTTAGATTTTTTCAAAATTATATTTTATTGATTATGCTATTACAGTTGGCCCAATCCTTCCCACCTGATCCCTCCACACAGGACCCACCATGCCCTCAGTCAGTCCCACACCTTGTTCATGTCCGTGGCTCATGCGTATGTTCTTTGGCTACTTCCTTTCCTTTACTGTACTTTACATCCCCATGGCTATTCTGTAACTACCAATTAGTTTTTCTTAATCCCCTCACCTCTTTGCCCATTTCCCCATACCACCCTCTCATCTGGCAACCATCAAAACGCTCTCTGTATCCATGATTCTGTCTCTGTTTTTGTTTGCTTAGTTTGTTTTTTAGATTCAATTGTTGATAGATATGTATTTATTTTCATTTTATTGTTCATAGTTTTGATCTTTTTCTTAAATAAGTCCATTTAACATTTCATATAATAATGGCTTGGTGATGATGAACTCCTTTAGTTTTTCTTGTCTGGGAAGCTCTTTGTCTGCCCTTTGATTCTAAATGATAGCTTTGCTGGGTAGAGCAATCTTGGCTGTAGGTCCCCACTTTTTACGACTTTGAATATTTCTTGCCAATCCCTTCTGGCCTGCAAAATTTCTTTTGAGAAATTAGCTGACAGTCTTATGGGAACTCCCCTGTAGGTAACTAACTGTTTTTCTCTTGCTACTTTTAGAATTCCCTCTTTATCTTTAACCTTTGGCATTTTAATTATGATGTGCCTTGGAGTGGGCCCCTTTGCATTCATCTTGTTTGAGATTCTCTGTGCTTCCTGAACTTTCATGTCTATTTCCTTCACCAAATTAGGGAAGTTTTTCTTTCACTGTTTTTTTCAGGTAGTTTTCTAATTTTTTGTTCTTTCTCTTCTCCTTCCAGCACCCCTATGATGCGAATGTTGGACCTCTTGAAGTTGTCACAGAGGCTGCTTTTACTATCCTCAGTTTTTTGGATTATTTTTTCTTCCTGTTCTGCATAATTGTTTTGTGTTCCTTATACTCCAAATCATTGATTTGATTCTCAGCTTCATCTACCCTACTGTTGTTTCCCTGTAAATTGGTCTTTACTTCAATTAGCAAATCCTTCATTTCTGACTGGATCTTTTTTATGCTTCTGAGGTCCATGTTAAGTTCCTTGAGTGTCCTTATAACCAGTGTTTTGAACTCTGAATCTGATAGATTGCTTATCTCCATTTTGCTTAGCTCTCTTTCTGGAGTTTTGATCTGTTCATTCATTTGGGCCATGTTTGTCTCCTTGTTTTCTGAAATATTTTTATTAAGATATTTATATGCAATGATAATCACACATTTTAAGTATACAGTTTAAGTTATAACAATTTTATACAATGGTGTAACTATTAGGACAATCAGGATATAGATCATTTCACTCACCCTAATATTTTTTTTGTGTCCATTTGCAGACATTCCTAGTTCCCATACTCAGGCCCAGGTAATCATAGACCTTCTTTCTGTCACTAGTTTTTCTTTTCTATAATTTTACATAAGTGGAATCATATATAATCTTCTGTGTTTGACTTATTTCACTTACTATATTTTTTTTATTCTCACCAATGTTTTATTAATAGTTTGATCCTTTTTACTGGTAAGTAATATTTAATAGCACAAACATACTACAACTTGTTTATCCATTCACCAGTTGATGGACCCTCCAATTGCGCTCAAATGTTGGTAACTATGAATAAAATGCTGTGAACATTGGTGTATGCTTCTTCGTGTGAAGTGTACATTTTCATTTGTCTTTGGTAAATACATAGGAGTAGAATCAATGCACAATTATACTTAAAAGGAATTTTGATCCTCTTTTAACATTTCTTATAGTGCAGTTCTGCCTCCACTTACCAGAAGAACACCAAAAGGAGAAAAAGTCCTTTCTTTCTCTTTTATCCTGTATTGTTCCTCTAGCACATTCTAATGGGAGATTCTAACATTAAGCTAGCCATAGAATAGTGGTCTATACAGTCTAGTTTTAGTTTTACAATGGAGGGCAAAGAAGGATGGGTTTGGAGTTGAGAAGCAATAAACTAATAACTGGAACATCATTTATGCCAGGTACACAACTGTTACTCTGAGATACTCCATCATCATTTTTATAAATTCTCTTTTTACCCTTCTTAGTTTGATTTCCTGTTTCCTTTGTCCCATGTCGTCCTCTCTTTTTCAGGTCAGTCTTTCATTTTGATAGAGTACGCTCTTCTGTAGCTTTTTGAGAAAAGGGTGCATAGGATGTAAAGGTTTTGAGAATTTAAAATACTGAAAATATTTTTACTTTGCACTCAGAAATCTGAAAATACTTTATTTTGCCTTCAGAATTACTTGATAGTTTGGCTGGACAAAGTATTCTAGATTGGAAATCACCTTACTTCAGTACATTGAACAATCTTGCAGCTTCCAGTGTTTTTCTTGAGGTCATCCAAAGACATTCTAATCTTTTGGTTTTACCTGTTTTCTCTCTTTGGAAGCTTATGTAATCTTCATCCCCAATGTTTTGAAATTTCGCAGTGAGTTATCTTGGTGTCCATCTCTTTTCATCCATTGTGTTGAACACCTAGTGAGCCCTTTCAATCTGGTAACTGGTGTTCAGTTCTGGGAAAGTTTCTTGTTTTATGCTGTGATGATTACTTCCCTGTTTTCTCTTTATTCTTTTTCTGAAACTCTTGTTGCTTGTTGGACTTCTTGAACTGGCCCTCTTAATCATTTCTCTCTTACTTTCCCCTCTCTTTGTCTTTTTTATTCTACATTTTGAGAAATGTTCACAAATTTACTTTTTAAACTAATCTGTTAAGTTTTTCACTTCTGCTATCATATTTTCAGTTACCAAAGCCTACTTTATACTCCCTTTAAATTATGTTATTCTTATTTCATGGCCTTCAGACTTCATTGACTTTCTTCTGTTAAATGTTTTTCTTAATTCATTTCACTTCTGTTTCATTTTTTTTAGTTTTGTTCTTCCTACTCCATGTTTCTCCTCTGAGGTTTTAATTTTTTCTTGGTCCCTAGCTTTATTCAGATTTCTGGTGATCTTAGGTTGCTACTCATATTTAAGGGTCAGATGCTAAAAGTCTCCTTGGAAGTTTGTTGACTGTGGATTCTCATAAGATTAAGTAGGTCATTATTTGGAGAACCTCCAGTGTCTAATCTCCTGCCTGGAGATTGTCATTCAGTGTTCAGGAATCAAAATGGAGAAAGATAGCTTGGGGGGCAGGGGTGGTCTTAGTATTCAGTATGTAAATATTTGCTTAGTTCATTTCTTGAATAGTGTCCTGCCTTCAGCTTTACTTGGAGTATTCCATTGTGTAGACTTTGTTCTGTCCCCTCCAGAGATTAAATTTTCAGCCTAGGAAAGGGAGAGTACCTTCTGGTGTTAGTCAAATGCCTGCTAAGTGTGTGTCTGTGAGGGTAGGGACCTAGTAATCTAGTTACTTCTTAAAGAGACTTTAGTCCTTTCTTCCTGTCTTTAACATCACCTCCCATAGGTTCTTGGTACCTCCAATTCCTAAGCCTTTTGAGAGCTTGGTAGCATATTTTAAGCAGTTTCTTGACTTTTCCCATTGTTAGCTTTGGATTCAGGTTTATCAAGTCTGCTAAGTAGGTTGTTATTCACCAAACTGCTTTCCAATTTCCAAAATTTTGTTGCCTTTAGTCCTTCTTTCATGTCTCCTGTCCTTGTGGGTTTTTGCCTTTTTTTGAAAAACTGTTCTAATTGGCTTTTTGGAAGCACCAAAAATAAGTATAGGTGTTAAATTCATCATCTTTACCTGGAAGGTCTCGTTCCTTTTTTTTTTTTAACCATTTTCAGAGCATTCCATTGAGGATATGCTGGCTTCAACTTTTAGCTATTACAAACAGCGCTGCAGTTAATAACATTAATAGTTTGTACATGTAGAAGTGTTTCTTCATAGAGGTTGTACCAATTTATATTCCCATCTGTAATGTATGAGAGTGTTTCTCCATATGCTTTTGATCTTTGCCAATGTCATAGTTGAAAGCTGTCTCAGTGTAGCTTTAATGTTTACCTTGCTATATAAGTGGGATGGAGCACTTTTTCATGTTTAAGAGCCATTTATATGTCCTTTCTTTTGAACTAATTGTTCATCTTTTTTGCCTATTTCTCTACACTAATGTCGATCTTTTTCATATTTCATTGTAGTAGATTTTTGTAAACATTAGTAAAAAAATTACACTGTAGCCCAAGATATAGCTTATGTATATTCTTTCTCGATGCCTTGATTATTATTTGGTTTGCTTCTGGCCCTTTTTTCCTCTGAGTTTCCCTCCCACCCCACATCTTATATTATTTTTGGTCTCTAGCAGAGCTGAAAGAAAATTTTTATGTGATAAATTATATTAGTTTTTTTACGATTTATTGCTTTTGTATAATAGTTAGATCTTCCTCTTGAGAATATTAAAATGTCATGTTTTCTTTTTGAACACATATAATTTCATTTTAATATATCAGTATTTAGTTTATTTAGATTTTATTTTTGTGTAAATTGTGAGACATGGATTCAATTTATTTTTTTCCCCAGATGACTACCCAGTTGTTTCCAAATAATTTATTGAATTAACTTTCTTTTCTTTCTTATGTAAATTACCCCATTTATCATGTATATTCTATTAACAGTCACAAACTTTTCCTTTAAATTATTTAAAGGGAGTATAAATTAGATTATCCAGCAAATGGATTGTCTTGAAATTATTTACTTGTCATTTTTACATTATAGGAAAAAATACAAAGAGAAAAATATAAAGATAATGTTTCATTTATGAACATAAGTACTCAAAATACATTGAAACACCTCCATACAGATGGTATTGGTGGAGATCCCAAAGCAGAAGGTAAAGATAAAAGCCAGTCTAGAATGCTTCAGAGTTATAAATCCCATGGATTCATGTCTACAGCATGTGCAAGTGGTGACCAAATGAAGACCCTGGTAAAAAGTGCAAATCCAGTTAATGCTTGTTACAGGGAGAGTGGACAAAATAAGACTTTATGTAAAGCCAATTCAAGCTGCAATCAAGACTTACATAAGGAGAATTTTGAAAAAAAAGATTTTGTTTCTCCATCAAGGTATAGTTTAATAATTGTTTCTAAAGTTTTTTTCATATATTCAGCAAATTTTTTTGTGCAGTACTGTGTGCCCCACTATTAAGCACTGGGATATAGAAATGGTAAAACATGGTCTTGGGAGGAGCCTAAAGTAGGAAATCTTGAGAAACGAGTCTGGATGGGAAAGTATGGGCCACTTCATCTAGGGCCTTGCATGTTATATGCAGGATTTTGGTTTTAACTCACAGGGTGTAGAGAGCCACTAACAATTTTAAATTGAGTGACAGGATCAGATTTGAATTTTAGAAAGGATACTCAGAAAACTGAAAGTGAAACCCTATTTATACCTTAACTTACAATGAATGCATGTACTGATAATCTATCAGCAATATGGCCAAAACCAGTGGTAAGTTTAGTTTGATAAAAGGGAGTAGTAGGGTGAAAAACTGCTTTAGGCTTGCCTTTTCATTTGCTCCCTGCACCTTACCTCCAGGATTTGTGCTTTCTCCCTCACAAGTACTGTATTTTGCCGTGTATAATGTGTTCCTGTGTATAGTGCACACCCATGTTTTTGGCCTAAACTTACAGGAAAAAAAATCTTTAGTTTCAATTTTTTATTCTAGTTTTTAGTTATTTGTATAAATATATACAAATATATTTAGTTATATATAGAAACAAAACTGATTATCATATTCCAGGGTATTATTTTGCATATGGATGTTATTGCTTTCTAGAGTTATACTTTTTAATGCACAAGCATAAATAAAGGAATTAAAAACATTTATATAGATAGAGAATTAGAACTACCCATGTATAATGTGCATCCTTATTTTTCCCTCAAAAATTTGGGCAAAAAGTACACATTATACACAGCAAAAATGCAGTAGCTTGTGGGGCTGGACCTGGGATTGTAGCTTTTTTTCTTAAACCCCTTCTTATATTCTGCTCTTCTGATGGTTGTTGTGCTAGGAAGGAAACTTAAGAGGATGCTGCTATGTTTTGGGAAGATTGCAGGGTAAACTAAGTATTAGAGAGATGGATTGTATCATTACCACCCCTTTTTTCCTTTTTAAAACCATTCTGATGTTAATTTTAATTGATTTCTCGGGGTTGTGGAAGTGGGAAGTAGTGAGATATGTTCTTGGGCCAGTCTTCTGCGGTCCTCTGGCCCACTCAATTCCTTTTTTTTGGCCCTCATTTCTTCCTTTTCAAACCTTTCTTCCATGTTTCTGTTGGCATCAATATTATTGCCCTCTGTAGTCTTATTCAACTTCACTTTTAGAAGGAAGATTATTTGGCAGAATTTGGTAGATTTTGGTAGATCCTGGCTCCAGCTCCTTCTGCCTGACAAATGCTCAGAATCATGCCATTGCTTACAAAAACATTTGTACGTACACCAAATAGTATGTTTACTTTTAGTAATCTGGTCTATTTTCTTTTAGCAACAACCATGTTTTTAAACATCCAAATCCTATTGTCAAAAATAGAAAGCAGCAGTTACCAGTAACAGGTACGATTAAAAATGTTTCTTTGATTTTTCAAGAAAACATATATTTAGGTGACTAACATAGCTAAAAATGTACATTATAAATCTGCCCTTTAAAATATAAGCCACACCTCCTACTCTCTTTCTGGTATAAATGTTCAGTCACCTTTTATTGATAATCCAGAATGTTTTTGTTTATCCATTGGGATGACTGGATGTGTAATTCTGGGCTAAAATTTATGAAAATCTTGACAATAAATCTTGTAAGTATCAGGTCCTTCACATTATTAAAAAAAAAATTCTCACATTTTGCATTTTTTCCAGATCCATTTATGTTATGTTCAGATATAATAAATAAAGAAGTAATCAATTCTCTGTCAGCTGACAATTGTTCCAAAATATCCAAGTATAGGTGCTCAGGTAATATTTTTTAATTACATTTATTTCAAAATTAAAGCTTTACCTGATATTAATTAAGTAGAATTTGTAATAGTTTTGCCTGTGTGATTTAAACTTGATTTCTTTTGGAAAAACAACCATTTGGAGCATCATAAAACATTCAAAATATTGCCTTCTATTTGTATCATCCTGTGTTCCCAGTACTTATTTTTATGAATCAACATAGATAAATCTTTTAAAATTATTTTATTTTTCTCTTTTTGTCACAACATCTCTGTAAGTTTAACTGTACCAAGGTAAACTTTTTAAAAATATCTTTTAGAGAGCCAATAAATAGGTATGTATTTTGGATTATGCTCTACATATTATAGGCATTAAGTATTAAAAATATCTAATTTGCATTTATAATAAATATATAAATATTTCTAGTGTTCTATGCTCCTTTATTTTTTCTGCTGGGTGTGTTTTTTTAATTTTAATTTTTTTATTACAGTTCACATTCATTATTATTTTGTGTTAGTTTCAGATGTAGAGTGTAATGGTTAGAGAATCATATACAAAGTGATTCCCTGATATTTCAAGTACCCACCTGGCACCAGACATGGTTATTTCTGCAGGGCATTTTGTAAACGCTCCATAGTGCTTATTCCATCCCTTCTCCTTCTTCATATCCCAGTATTTTCTCTTGTACTTACTCTTGTACTGTGTGCTCTATGGAGAAAATTGAGACTATTGCACATTAGGCTCAAAATACTATTCTTGCCTTGGCTGAGTAGCTCCAGTAATTGGAGCATCATCCTGTACACCAAAAGGTTGCAGGTTTGATCCCATGTGAAGGCATATACATAAATTGCAGGTTAGATTGCAGGTGAGGGTGGGGAATGGGGAGGGGCTTATGAGAAGCAACCGATCGCTGTTTCTCTCTCTCTCTCTCTCTCAAAATAAATATGTATATATCCTTGGGTGAGGATTAATAAAAATATATGTATTACTATTCTTCAGTCTTGGATATAGAGTTTAATTTTATTACTCTAAAACTGACATCTAGCTATAATCTGAATCCCATCTCTTTTTTCCTTCCCATTTTAGTACTTGTAAAATCTTTCTCTTCATTCCCTTTCTACCCATTAATTCCTTTGGTCTCACCTTAAACTATGTTAATTTCTTCTTAAAATCCAATAGTGTGATTTGCTATTGCTTCAAGTATTCATCTACTCTTTTTTCACTGTTTATTACCAGATTCCTGCTCTTGCTCCCTTATCTTTCAATGTATTAATTCCCTTTTTAACTCCCTGCAAGCTGGCTTCTTTAACTGCCCTTCTACTAAATTATGTTAAAGGTTCCCTGAAGCATCATCTGCCCCACCCTCAAACCAATGACTTTTTACAAAGTTCTTATCCTCTAGTATCTCTGCATTGTTGAATTCCATCCCTTGAAATCCTCTTCTGTCAATAGTTTAATACTACAGTTCTCAAACTGTTCACCCGAGCTTCTTGGGGTGGGCAGTGAACTCTCAAGGGCACTACACAATATTTTAAATTTTACAAGTGAACCACAAAATAGTCAATATCTTTTGGCCACTACATGAACTACTAGCTCAAAGTAGTTCACAGTTTCAACATTAGATTGCACTACATTCTTTTTGATGATATCATGTCTTTGTGGAACTGGGTTTTCAATGGTGGTTGTGATAAAAATCAAGCACCATATGAAAATCAATGTGAAACAGGAAATGAAGGTGGCAGTGTCTAGTGTGATTCTAGGGTTTGAGAAGTTAGGTTATACCCAATAGGTGCACACATCCCATTAGGAAGTAATTGTAATTAATCAGAATGAAATACAAGTATTTTTTCTTTCAATTTAGGTATCTTATTTTTTCAAATGGCTACTAAGTTGTTAGAACATAACAACTTAAATTGTTCGGGACCTAACAGGGTGGTTGGCATTTCTTTTGGCCTAAAGGTGCTGTAAAACAATCACCAAGATTTTTTTTTTAAAAGATTTTATTTATGTATTTTTAGACAGAGGGGAAGGGAAGGAGAAAGAGAGGGAGAGAAACGTCAATGTGTGGTTGTCTCTCACAGGCCCGCCACCTAGGCACGTACCCTGACTTTGGTCTGCAGGCTGGTGCTCAGTTCACTGAGCCACACCAGCCAGGGTAAATCACTAAGATCTTAAGGGTGCCATGAAGTGAGAAAGTTTGGGAAACTATGGTTAAAAGTGTTGCAGTTGACAGAGTGGACACTCTATAACTGTTTACTTCCTTTCATCCCGTAGTTTGTTTGTGGTGCTTCTTTCCTAGTTCCTTTCTTCCTTCAGTGATCATTCATTCATTCATTCATTCATTTCACAAACACTTAGGGAGGCTTATTCTTCTACGGTAGGCACTAGAATCAAAGATGAATAGAACTCACTCCTCCCTCAAGAAGTTTATTGTCTAAAACAACTCTTATTTAATCAGCTTTATTGCTTCATCTTTCTCTTTCTGCCAACTTTCTTTCTGCCAGTATTTCCCTCAAGATAATAGTCTACAGCACATAGTCAACTAAATGTTGCAACATTTACTTTTGTGGCATGAACTATCATTTTACTGATGATTTTCAAATGTGTATCTCTACACTTGGCTTCTACCTTGGATTATATCCTTATTCCTCCATTTCCATCTGTACCTAGGACATACTCATGTCAATATCTTTTTATTATTTCAAGCTTAATATATTCAAAAGACAATATCTTTCTCCCTCTTAAGTTACCCTTTCACCATCCACTCCATTTCTATTATTGCTACTATTTTCTGGCCTCCTAGATTTCAAACCTTTAATCACCTATGAATATTTTTTTCTCCTTAACCCTACTTCTTGTCCTTCAAATTTGGTCCTTTTTTTCTTTCCCACATAGGCTTTTTTTTTGCTTCATGCCTAAATCACTCCAGCGACTTTCTAGGAGTCTTCAGTCTCAGGTCTCAACAACCCCAACTGCGCTGTACATATTGCTGTTAACCTCTCTTCCTAGTATGTGCTTTTTATCATGTCACCATGCTAAAGAACCCATGGTGCTTCTCTGAAACTCAATGAATCAAAAAGCCTGCCTGGCTTTTAAAATTTTCTGGAATTTTGTCCTGCTTCCACTTGTTAAATTTTACTTGTTAAAACCCACCTCCACAAAGACATGGTATCATCAAAAGGAATGTAGTGCAATCTGATGTTGAAACTGTGCTAGTAGTTTGAGCTAGTAGTTTGTTCTCTTCAAGTCTGCTAGAAATATGTCATGCTTATTATAAACTGTCATTCAATCTACTCTCAAATTATTTGAGATACTCTAAACTTCTCCCTACTCCAACAGCTCATTTTTCACCAATTTTACCTCAGAAATCTCTATGTTTTCATTGCAAATGCCTGGTTTTAGAGTCCTCTCACTTATCTTCTGGTCTGTTGAAGTAACTCCTCAACTGATCCCCTTACCTTCAGTGGAGATTTCTATAAGACAGATGAAATCATGTCATTTCCCTTCTTAATATCTTTCAGTTCCTCCCCATTGACTTTAAGATAGTTAAAAATCCTCAGCATGGCTTTTAAAACCCTTCTTGACCTTGTCCTTTCAACCCTCACCAGCCTCAACTTTTCTCCCACATTCCTCTCATACCTCATACTACAGCCCCACCAAAGTACATACGATGCTCTGAATGCATTGTGCTTTTGCTCATGTTCAGTGTACTAGAAATTTCCTCATCCCAGTTAACTTTGCCTGGATACATCCTCCTAATCCCTTGGAAATAGGCCACTAATACCATTAGGTGACAGTCAGATGGAGAACTTTATAATCTATGGATGTAACTAACATTACTGAAACCTACTGATCAATCTTAACATTAAAAAAAGATAGTCAGAATGTGCCTCTTAATATGACGCAGTAAGGAGTATACAATACTACCTGTGAGGAATTCTAAAAGCAATTGAATATGAATCTGATCTATCATCTAGACCAAATTACTAGTTTATTGGGTACACAGGAACATTTTAAAGGATACAACTAGGATATAATCAGCAAAGCCCAACTTTTGGGAAACTCCATAGTACAAATGACCCAGTGTCTACAACAAATAAATGATAAGGATAAAGAAAGGAGACTTGACAGATTAAAAGAAATGCAAAATGCATATCAACTGAATGTGATGGTGGACCTTGTTTGGATCATGATTCAAAGAAACCAATTGAAAAAAAAAGTTTTGAAATGATGGGGAAATTTGGACACTAGATATTAGATTATATTAAGCATACTTCTCTTAGGTGTGATAATAGTTTTGTGTGTTTTAAAAAAAAGTCTATACCTGTTAGAGTTGCAATATGAAGTGTTTAAAGGCAAACTAATACTTTTTTTTAAACAGGAGGCTTCTAAGTACTTTCATTTTATATTTATTTATTTATTTAATCCTCATTCAAGGATATAGACGTTGATTTTAGAGAGTGGGGAAGGGACGGCAAGAGAGAGGGAGAAACATGCATCAGTTTTCTCTCATACACACCCAGCCAGGGACCGCTTGTACATGCCCTAACCTGGTAACCAGAGACCAAACCTGCAACACAGGCATGTGCCCTGACCTGGAATCAAACTCACAGCCTTTCATTTTATAGGACAACGCTCCAACCAAATGAGCCACACCAGCCAAGGCTAGACGAACTAATACCTTAATGCAAATTTCAGGCTTCATAATTTAGTGTGTATATGGGGGGCAGGGCAGACACATGAAGTGTAGATAAAATATGACTGACTACGAATTAATAATGATTGAAGCTGGGTGATTGATACATAGAGGTTCATTGTACTTTTTTCTTTACTCCTGTGTGTTTGAAATTTTCTATAATAAGACATTAAAAAACATGACTAGACATAAGAGTTGCCTCTTTTGGCTATCTTTCAGTGACAGTGACTCTTGCTTAGAACCAGGCAAAGTAGATACTCCTTTTCTATATCACCATAACTCTGTTCACACTTTTATCATAACACTTATTTCACTATATTGTATTTATTGTCTTTCTATCTCTCACAAGACTTTGAGCGGCTTGATTTATTTATAATTAAGTTCCTGATTTCAATTCAGTTACCATCATAAAGATATTTGCTTTCATAGATTTGTTATTAGATATTTTGTAACATCTATACATCACTTTAATTTCTTTTCTTTTAGGTTGCATAGCAGTAGGAAAATCCCTGAATAGCCGAAATTTTAGCAAGCTCTTGCACTCTTGCCCATACCAATGTGATCGTCACAAAGTCATTGTGGAAGCTGAAGACAGATATAAAAGTGAACTAAGGAAATCACTTATCTGTAACAAAAGTAATTAATTCAGCAGCATTGAAACTATAATTATGACTATACCTTCTGAACTATAACCTAGAACATATATAAAAAGCTAGAGGATAAACTAATGTTGAAAAGAAAATCTGTCTCTGAGCAACCAGTGATTTAAGATGTATCCAGGGAGAAGATTTAGTCTCTGGAGGTTTAAAAATTGTCCCCAGTCCACCTAAGTATTCCTATTAGAAGGGGAAAATAAGGGAAATATCATACTAATGGAATTGATGTGCTGTTACTCAGATTGTCATGCTAAGTATGCTAAATGTTTTCCATATTTTTCAGAAATTCTGCTGACCCCACGTAGAAGAAAGCAACTCAGTAATGAACCTACTACCTCTGGAGGAATAAGTGAATATATTTAATTTTTAAATAAGCCAAAATTTCAGAAAGAAGAGAATAAGTAAATATATTTAATTTTAAATAAGCCACAATTTCAGAAAGAAGAGGACAGCTGAATGATTGTTTTGTTTCATTGTTAATGGCCCTTAAGTGGTAACCCTTATCTCTGATGAGAGGCATACTTCCTAGGAAAAGGGAGGTCCCTCTTCCCTTCCTCAGGTTGCTTGCTCACCCATTAATTGCCAGCTGGGGAAGGAGCAGGAGGGAACTAATATTTATTAGGCATCTACTAGGTGTTAGGTGTTTTATAGCTATTATTAGTTTTAATTCTTATAACAACATTGTAAGGTAGGTATTATTTATTCCCATTTTAAGCCACATTGAATTGGCAAATGGCAGAGCTTAGGTACAAATACAAGTCTGTCCTTCTTTAGAAGCCTCTGTTCTGTCCTTGAGATCATGTTTCTATTTTAAGAACAAAATTATTCTCCTGTGCACAAGTGCCTCAGAGAGATTTTGCAAGTTTTGTTTCATAGCTATAGCACTTCAAACAACCAAAATTGAATAGACAAATAGTATAAACCTTAAAGCCCTGCTTAAAAATCAAAATACTTCTCAAATAATTAATTTATAGGAACTTTTATTTAACTTCAGAGTTAATATTTCAGGTTTATCACAGAGACTTAAAGAACATTTACCATTTTTTTCTATTCATATGGCATTAGTTATCTACAGAGTATGAATAAGCAGTTGAGTGCCTGACTTGTCAAAGTAAGCTGGAAATTAGTAACATCTGTAGAGCCATTCTGTTATTTATTGTAAAGACATTCCCAATTTGTTACATCCAGGAAACATTTTGCCACATACTTTCATTTGTCCATTTTCACTGCTAAAACCTTGAAAGAAATTTCAAATTTACTTTTTATGTCTGGATTTCTTTCTAGGTTAAAAGTTCTTCATGTAAATTAAAATTAAGTACAGTATCACTATAGGATAGCCCACTTTTTAACATAATATTTCTGTATAAACTGTTAGAAAATGGATATTTTCTCCCTGGTTGAGTAACGCAATTGTTTGGAGCATCGTTCCATCCACCACGGTTGCAGGTTTGATCCTCTGTTAGGGCACGAAGAGGAACCAACCAATGAATGCACAAGTGGGTGGAACAACAAATGGATGTTTCTCTCTCTCTCTCCCTTCCTCTCTCTCTAAAATCAATAAAAATAAAAATTAAAAAAAGGAAATGGGTATTTTTCCATAGAAACATGTTACACTTGGAAATATTGTTTTTGACAAGGAGTTGGCATCAGATTAATAGAGATTTTTTTCAGCAGCATATCTTGAAAGGCAATGTATAAAAACAAAATATTTTATAGTAATTTTACATAGTAAGATCATTTGCAAAGCCTCATGAAATGTACATAATTATGGCTGTACATTGATTATACAGAGAGATCCTAAATAATGTTTTGTGACATTCAGCTCATAAATACATACATTTTTTTTTGTGGGGTAGAATTGCTTTAGCTAAAACCAAATAGTTAATAATTTGGCCTGCTCTTTTTAGAATGTGGAAAGGCATCTTGAGGAGGTAGTGATTAGATTGTTCTCGTATCTCTTTCAAAAGCAACCTAGGAAAATTTGATATATTGCCATTCTCCTTACCCTTAATAAATTTCTCTTCTGTATTAAATACAGTCATCACAATTCACTATGTTATAGGTTACACTCAAATTTCAGACTTTGAGAAGGGATCATTGCAGCATCTAAGCATTTAAAGAGCCTCAGGGATAAACTCTTTTTTTGAGATGGATTGGTATCCTAAGGGGGTTTGAACAATAAGAGTTGCTAGAACTGAGGCTTCTTGCCTATTTTCCCTGCTCTTTCCTAATGCCCTATCACTATCAAGAGGAGCAATGAAGAAGCCACAGAGCATTGTGTAGAGAGCTACTCCTTCCTTCTAGGCTGCCTACTACTCGGATGCAGTTATCTTTGAGGAACTAGGCACAGATGTTAAGTGCAGGAGTCAATGAGATGGCAGCTCCAATGGAAAAGTGGGAATTGGCTTTACATGTACAGCTCTGTACCCTCATAACCTGAATGTTGTAATAACCCATTTAATACTGATCACAATGAGTTCAAGTCATTTAGCAAGTGAAACTGAAATCATCTATTTCTTAGATAACCACAGTTTTCTAGTAGACTCAAAAGTAAGGAGTAATTTCATTGATAAGCTTTAAACCAGTTTTTACCAATAATAACTTTTTTCTTCCAACAACTATTTATTGATTACCTACTATGTGTTGGACACCGTTCTAGGCCCTGGGGATACAATGGTGAGCAAAACACAAAACTTCCATCTTCATGGAACTTGCATTCTAAGACCATTAAGGCATAATCAGACATTATTTTCATTTCTTTATCAGTCTTCTGCTGGTAAGATTTTCTCTTCTGTTTTAAAAGATCTGAACTGTGGCTTACATCCTAGGAGAGGTAGACAAATAGCTAACAGTCTTAACATGCAAGGTCAAGATTTTCTAAGGGTTTTCCAGGTCCTACTAAAGTAAACAGCAGCTTTAAGTGAATAAACAAAAAAATCCTCCTCATTAGCATCTACCTACAATGATAACGTGGATTAGCAATTAATGAAAAAGCTTTAAAGAACCATTTCCTAGTAATCATCATCAGAAGATACTTGTGTTTACAGATACCAATGGTCCATTCTTTCTGTTGTAGAAACTATCCCTAAAAATCAGATAGTTAGCCCTGACCAGTGTGCCTCAGTTGGTTGGGTGTTGTCCTGTAAAGTGAAAAGTTCGATTCCAAGTCAGGGTACATAACTGGGTTGCAGGTTTGGCTCCTCCTTGTGGCAAAAGGCAGCCAATTGATGTTTCCCTCCATCTCTCCTTCCCTTCTTACCCTCTCTTTCTCTAAAAAATAAATTTAAAAAATCAGATAGTTAAAAAACTTCCCCTTTTTGCAGCTTTTTTGTTTTAACAAGCTGAGCATCCATATAGGTAGTAAACTTATTTTTTAAAGTGAATTTAAAAAATAGAGCCATATTCTTTAGAAGTATTAATGAAGACTAATAATTAAAATAACAAGTGTTGATATTCTTTTCTATTCTATGAAGTTATGGAGCTCTTTGGGAAGACTATCTGTAAGATAGGTAAGCTGTTTGTTAACTGTCCTCACAAGAATGTTAAAAGAATTAACAATCAAATATTTGTAAACTCTTGATTTTCTTGATTGAAAGACGTTGGAAGTGTTATTACAAACTGATAAAGTTACAATTATTGAAGAAGTCACATTGATAACACCTAACTTAACAGAAGGCACTCAGTTTTTAAAAATTGAAATGGATTTCTATATGATGAGTAGCCCAGGCATAAAGTTTTCTCACTATATAGTTCTTATCTTTAGAATAAGTTAAGCACTTACTTGGGTCTCAAGACTTTTTTTCTTCCCAGCAGGCACTAATATATTCTACAATTCTCATTAATTACAGAAAAAAGAAAAATTCGTAAAAACTTTACTGAAGAAGAAATAAGGTATCTTTTCAGTGGAGTTAAGAAAATGGGAAATCATTGGAATTTAATTTTGTGGTCTTTCCCCTTTCAACAAGGACGGAAGTCTGTTGATCTTGCTCAGAAATACCACAAGCTGACCAAACACCTCAAGTGTGTGTCTCCTTAATTGGAAGAAGACTTGTCAGTTTTTAATGTGAACTCTTGAAATACAGTGCTTGAAGATAAAAAATTTAAAATATTCTTCTAAACTCTCATGATACAAAGAATGTGGACATAGGGATACTGTTTTCATTAATCATTTCTTGTGATATGATGAGCTGTAGCTCATCAAATTATTAAAATAGTTTATAAAACATACATTTTCAAGGTGTGGATTAGTAAGACAAATTCCTTCATAAGGTCAAACATTTGTTTAGGAATATGCTTTTGTTTTTCCTTAAGCTCAAAGAACGTAGGTGAGAGAAAAGAATTATCAGCCTTTAAGTATTATTTGACATTATATTTGACATTAAATGTGTGAGACATTTGAATTTTAATATTACCCAGTGAAAGTTCCTCCCCAGAAAGACAGAATAATTTCCCAAGCTGTTCAAGTGAGGTTCTCACATACTAAATCAATGTCTGACATTTTGTTAATTAAAATGTTTTCTAAGTGCTGATTGTGAAGTTGCTTTGCATACTTCCAAATTATATGGTCAGGTTCACTTCTTTTTTGGTGTATGTTTGTTTTTGCTTTTTAAAAATTTAAAACAATTTTTTACTTGTTAGTTTTTTTTAATGGAAAACCAAGCAGATATTTCAATTTTCTATTTTTCTTCCTTTTTTTTGTATTCCATCATGATCCCCAAAGGATGCTGTTGCAGCTTCCATTATATTTAAAATATTGCTGTGGCAAAGGGATCAAGAGTCAGGGCCTGAAAGCTCCACTGTGTTTATGTACCAGTTGGCGTGCTGCTTCATGTCATAGTAGTAGGTTATTCAGTCCCAAATGATGTTTCTCTATAAGCATGATTTCTTTGACCTTTTCAGATCATGACTATTTCTACTTAGATGAAGCATAATTTTTATTACATTTCTTATTTTTTGATCCACATTGAAAATTCCAGAGGGTCAATAAAATTTAAAGTGTGAATGAATCTGTTCCATTATCCATCTGTTTCCTAAGCACAATGGGGAAAATTTAAATAGTCTTGCTGGGTTATTTTGATTTGTAAGAAAGATTTATGAAAATTGTTTTAGGTCAAAGGGGAAAACACTTTGTTGTCTCAGTCTCATTGGCTTAGATAATAAGTTGTCTCTTACCATTGTTCAGATTTAAACATTTTTCCATTTTAAGTGAGTCATAGGTGACAGTTCTTTAAAAATTAAGCATGTAACATAATTATCAAATACTGCTTACAGAAGCATCCCCAAGAGTATGACATATGGTAGCTTAGACACTGTTTTTTGTTTGTCACTGACAAACAAAATTTATATTTAAATTATATTTAAAATAAACTACCTTCTGAAAACGTCTTTAATTTTATCCTAACCCTTGGCTAATTTTTGGTTAGCATAAACTGCTTCCCCCTCCCCCTCAAATAGAGATATTTGGTAATAAAAATAAATAAGGAAAATAAAAGGAATGCCAAAAATGATGGCATATTAGACTATTTAGCTGTAAGAATTTAGACCTGGCCAAATCAACAGGAAATAGAAAATGATTTTAATAATGATAGATCCTTTGAGTTGGAACTGACCTTAATTATAGTTCTCTGCCAGAGGCGTGAATTTCTCTATGATAATCTGGACATTGATGGCTGTCTTTAATTTTGTATGTATCTTCAGAAACCTGTGATTTACTACTTTACAGGGTAATAATTGATGATTGGTTCTTAGGCTAAAATGAAATGTGCCTCCCTGCAGCACCTTCTGAAACCACAAAAGCTGAATCCCTTTTCCACATGCTGGCCCCTGGGAAAGTTACAGGAGTCTATCACTTTCCCCTCTTTTCCCTCTACATCCTTTATCAACATCATCTTGTATGCTGATGAGCCTCATCTACTCCATGCTTCAGCAGAACAGTGTCATGTCTCTTTATGAGCTTAGTCACTGACCATTGGACACCTCTTTATGTATAAACTGTGTCTATAAAGAAATGTGGCCTGACTGGCAGACTGGGGCATCAGCCTCTTTGCTAGGCCAAATGAGGTTTTATGGACCTTACCTAAGGTGCTTCTTGGCATTCTATATGACCAACTTTCAAATTATAGTTAATATAGTTAAGATTTATAGATTATAACTTTTATTCCTATCTTGTTCTTATGCATTTATTTTTAACTCCACTACAGGACTTTAGCAGTCCCTATTAAATTCCATCCTGTTAGGTTTAGTCTATAGTCAGTTTGTCATTCAGGTCATCCACAACTTCTATGGTTATCTTCTGCCTTCTCATCCAAGTCACTGATGGCACTATGAATTGGCTGGGCCAGGGTGGGAGGTTGGAGCAGGTCCCTAGCAGCATCCTCTGGGCCTGGTTTTAACAAGCCTCAGTCCTGCCTACATTTTACTTTCTCATCCATAATGTGAAATGCCCTGCTGAAATCTGCATTTGCTATGTCTGCAGTATCCAGTATCCTCCTATTATTCCTGAGAAAAGAAACTGAAAATGTGGTGCTATATTTTCCTTTTCCAACTGATCGTATTAGATAATTTCACCTTGGGCTAATGAAGTTCACTGACCTGTAGTTTTCAACTTCATCTTCTGTCCTGTGAAAATTCAGACAATGCTTGTCCTTTTATGACTTAAAACACTTTGCCTGCTCTTTCCAGACTTCCCAGAGGTATAACTCTTAATGAGTTTTCACTCCCATTGTCCCTGTTGAACCATATATTCAGGTTGGTAAGTGATACCGTATTTTGCCGTGTATAATGTGCACTGTTTTGCCTAAATTTTTGAGGGAAAAATAAGGTTGTGCATTATACATAGGAAGTACTAATTCTGTATCTATATAAATGTTTTTAATTCTTTATGCTTATGCATTAAAAGTGTAACTCTAGAAAGCAGTAACAATATCCTTATGCAAAATAAAACCATGGAATACAATAATTGGTTTTGTTTCTAAGTATAAATAAAATTAAAAATAAATTAAAAAATTAAAATGAAAAATTTTTTTCCTGAAAGTTTGAGGTAAAAACATGGGTGTGCACTATACAAGGGAGCACATTATACACAGCAAAATACATCATGTCCATTTGTTGGATCCTGTAATCCATTTGGCAGAGCTAGAATCAGAGTTCTACTCATATGAAATCCATGTAGGTGGCTGCTTTTCTGCCATATCTCACTTTCATGTGATATTTAGAAATGTCTTGCAAAGTGAGCCTGTTTCTACAGACTTTATAGCAAGAGCCTTCAGGTAGTGGCCATACCTAAATTTAAGCTTGATTGGCAAAATATACTGTTTCTTGTTTTTCTTCCATTATTTTGTTTCTCTTTCTCTCCACTATTCCTTCCTCTTTCACATCTCTTCCTTTTTCTTTCCCTTTTCTTTTCCCTTGAAGAAAAGAAATTAAAGCCGCCTGTTTCTGGTGTCAAATGCTGGTTTCCTGAAAATATTTTTAAAAACCTGTTCATAAACTTAAGTGTATTGTCACTGCGATAAAGATCATCACCACCTCACAATCTTAATAGGGTCAGTGAAAGAGGTGGTGAAAAAAGGAATATTTATGAGAATTTGGGGGTCTAGCTTATTAAGGACGATCTTATAATGAATGCGGGGTTTGACTAGGATTAGCCAATAGGTTAAGATCAGTGAATAAGATTTTAAGTACCAAGACCCTATCTTCCAGCACTCGGTCCTTGCTCAGGTTTCTTAAGCTTTATGAGCTTCAGGCTCCTCATCTGTAAACAGGTTGGGTACGATTCAGGGAGATAACGTGATTCTGGCACAAGGTTAAAAGCTAGACGAATAGCCTTAAGTGGTAGTCTCATTGCAAAGCCTGAGATTTTCGCGCCTGCCCATCTAACTTCCTCGGCTGCCGACGGACAGTGCCGCTGGAGGCGCCAGCGCGGACAGGACTTGGGGCGGGGTGCCTATGCGCCCCTCGGCCGGCAGAGGCCGCCAGCGCGCCCTTCCCAGCGGTTCCAGCCACCGCCTCCCCGCGTTTGGCTGTCTACGCTGCCGCCTGACCGACACCTGCCGCCTACCAACGAAGCGGCCTCACGACCTTGTGAGAGCCTACGGACATCGCGTTCCAGGAGGAGCGCGGCCGGCAACGCGGCCTCTTCACGGCCGGCGGCGTAAGGGGCGGCGTGGGGGACGGCGGGCAGCGGGCGTTCCGGCCGGGGTCCTCGCGGGTCCTCCGCGGGCCCGGGGGAGGGTCCTCTTTGTGACTGCAGTTGGCAAGATGGCGCCGGTGGGGGTGGAGAAGAAGGTGTTGCTGGGCCCCAACGGGCCCGCAGTAGCAGCCGCCGGCGACCTGACCAGTGAGGAAGAGGAAGGCCAGAGCCTATGGTGAGACCGCGAGGCGGCCAGGCTGTGTCGGTCGGGCCAGGGAGGCCGCGTCTGGGCGGGAAGCCGGCCGGGCTGGGCAGGACCGTCGGACAGACCGACGGGCCGTCCTGGGCCGGTCAGGTCCAGGCTCACCGCTTTGTCGTTGTCCCCACAGGTCCTCGATTCTGAGTGAGGTGTCCACCCGCGCCAGGTCCAAGCTGCCGTCTGGCAAGAACATTTTGGTCTTTGGTGAGCGCCGGCGGCGGGGCGTTGCCCAGGGAGCCGGGGTGGGCGAGGCGGGCGCCCCGCACAGGTCCCAGCCCTCCTCTCCCCTGCTGCCTGCCCGCAGCCTGCTTCATCCGGTGGCCCGAAGACCCAGGCTGGACAGTCGGACAGTGGCCAGGTCACCACGTCTGAGACTGGGGTGTTGCTCCTTCCGGAGAGCCCAGCGATGCTGGCATGAGGTTGTCGGTGCATTCTTTAGTCATTTGGCCGCAACAGTAGCCTTGCTATAAATGACCCTGACTCCCTGCGCTCACAACTTGGAAGATTACCGAATGTGGGCTTGGAGAGGGGAGTGAGTACAGGGGACGGTTAGGTGGAGGAAGCGGGGAACTAGATGATCTGAGGTCGGGGCTGTGGGGAGCTGGCACAGCAGCCACTCCTCCATCTTCATGAGCAGTGGAAGGGG